TGACATTTATTATCTTTAAAATCTTATGACCAGGAAATTGTCTAAAATGGACAGTGAATTTGGTTCTACTCAACATCAGACACTGACTCCCCAGCCACACAAAGCAGCAGCAGACCCCACCAGAAGAACAGAGCCAAAATCTGCAGACACATCTCCACTGCTACAGTGATCAACACTGCCCACGTCACATCAGGCACCACGGGTCCTACACTTGCCTATTGCAACCTGTGGTGTATCTCATCCAGTGCCCCAGTAACATTTACGTGACTGAAACCAGACAGTCACTATGCTCGTGAATGAGCCTACTCAGGAAAACACCCAAAGGCTCCCTATCACCCGTGGGTGAATTCTTTCCACAAGGCCATCATTCTACATCTGACCTATTAGTCCTCACCCTCAAAGGAAACACTTTCAAAGACAAGTTTGGGAGCTTTAAATAAATAACTTTGCTAGACACTATAAATTATAGTCTTAATAAAGACACTGGATTTATGGCTTACTGTAATTATCTGTAACCATTAACCTTCTCCTTTCTATCATACGGCTACAGGGATGTTAACAGGCCACTTCACATTGAATGGTCCCTTCCAATAGGAACTAATTACTTACACCAAACTCTTCAATCTCCTATTCGGCTGTAAGGCTTTTAGGACAGGTCTACACTACAAATGTGCATCGGTGCAGCTGCACTGCTGTCCCACATCCAGTGAAGACGCTCTAAGGCAACAGGAAGGTGGCTTCCCCATCAGCTTAATAACACCACTTCTGAGAGAGGCGGCAGCTATCTCCACGGCAGAAGATCTCCTGCCAACAGACTGCTATCTACCCCGGGGTTACGGTCATTATAACTACATCCCTTGGGGAAGGATTTTCCCATCTCTGAGCGACATAGTGTAGACCTGGGCTCACTACCTTCTTCAGGTCTGGGGAAGGGCGCTGTGTTGCTCGAAAGCTCCACTCTCTCCCCAACAGAACTTGGTACAACGAAAGGGATGATTCCTTCGCCCTCCTTGTCTTTCTTTTCCCCAGCAATCATGTATTACCATTTCAGGCTCCCAATGAACATTGCTTGGGTGCCCAACTTCATGCACTACGGACCTGGCTTCCCGAAGTGTTGGCCACCTGCAACCCCATCTGCAGACAATGGAAGCTGCAGACGCTCACACCTGCGAAAAGCAGGCCAGCGGCATCTCGGAACGGACGGAGGCAACCAAAAGTCAGTAGCCCAGCTAAACTCAAAGGCCTAATTCTGCTGGAGCTGACAAAGGCTTCATCTAGTACACTTAGACTCTCCTGCCAGAGTGCTGCAGAGGAAGGCATTAAATCCCCCACAACACACCTAACTGGGCAAGATGCCAGAGTGAACCGGTTTCTTCCTTACCCTCCCGGCTGATCAGCTAAAGTACCAGGCTGGATTGTCTCTTATTTATCTGCAATAGTGGCCCATGATTCATGAAAGCTCTTAAACATGTGTTCAAAATTAAACAGACATCCAAGTGCCTTGCTGAATCAGGGCCCGCCTCTGGCCTAGCAAAATCTGAGTGGATAAAGGGCTTTTTTAATCCAAAGTTTTGATTCTAGGCCCAGGGGGAGTGAGAATTAAGCCCAAATAATAAGGAGTACTTACTCCAAGGGATAGTGCGAGTTATTAATGTTCATGAAGAGTTTTCAGGTTGAGAAGCACCTCGAAGGCGAAGTATGGATTTTAACTGCCATCTCTCCATTCGCCCGGATAACACTGGTCAGACTACACTCTGCACCGGACCCTGGTGGCCACAGCAAGGGGATTTGGGTAACTGTCTTATACTCAGCCAATACAGGGCTTAAGGCTGTGACACAGATGAAGGATTCCACTTGATTTCACAGAAATACAGGGGACAAGACAGACTGGCCTCACCCTTGGTGCGGCGAAGAGAAAAGGGTGCTTGCTTCAATTCTTTCACTCTTAGGCTGTGTCTAGACGACATGGCTCCATCGATGGAGCCATGTAGATTAGGTTTGTAGGCAAAGGCAAATGAAGCCGTGATTTAAATGATCGCGGCTTCGCTTCATTTAAATTTACATGGCTGCCGCGCTGAGCCGACGATCAGCTGTTTGCCGGCTCAGTGCGCTAGTCTGGACGCTCCCCTACCGACATCAAAGCCCTTTGTCGGCAGCCCCGGTAAAACTCATCCCACGAGGAATAACGGGGCTGCCGACAAAGGGCTTTCATGTCGGCAGGGGAGCGTCCAGACTAGCACGCTGAGCGGACAAACAGCTGATCAGTTGTTTGTCGGCTCAGCGCGGCAGCCATGTAAATGTAAATGAATCCACGATCATTTAAATCGCGGCTTCATTTGCCTTTGCCCAATAAACAAATCTACATGGCTCCATCGACGGAGCCATGTAGCGTAGACGTACCCTACCTCTACATCTCTCTCGCTGTTCTGGCCAGTTTGGATCTGGGGAATGCTGGAGCTGGCATCCAATAATGGCTCATCTCTGTTACCACTGTTCACAAAGGAGCTCCCCCACACACCTACTGCCATGGGCATTTCACCGTCGAAGGGGGTAGACAGAGCATGCAACTGGTGCTCAGAATTCCCTGGCAGACAGGCAAAGGCTGAACAAGGATTTCTTAGCGTTGATCCCTGTCTTCTCTGACTATCAAGCCCCCATGATGAAACCCACTGCAGTCCCAGATGGGTCATCTAACCCAGACATAATTCCCCCAACTGCTCATCTACAGAGCTACGTCAGCTGCAAAACAGATCTTCTCCCTGCGGCTTTCCACGCTGCAGCGGGGAATTCCGCTACGTTGGGGCCATCGACCGTGTCACCAGCCGACAATGACAGCGGCTGACGTTCTTTGGTCCCCTAGTGCACGAAGAGCAAAGCACGTTACTGGGACAAAGGGCAACGCACCAGATACAACCCTCTGTAGCTAGTACAGCCACGTCAAGAACAGGCACTAACAGCCCGTGACTAACACAGAGACACCATCGGCGTCTATATTTCCTCCCTCCCCGGCAGTGGTTTCTCAGAATGTCCCTAGCAATTCCTCTGGCAGAGACCCTTAGTTACAAGTCAAGAGATGGTTTTGCTGATCTCCCAGCACCACCACCTTCGACCCATCTGGTGAGCTTTCCAGAAACATGCTAGTTAGGAGGGCGAGACTGTCCCCTAGGGAACCACCTCGACCAACAAAGAGCCCTCAGATGGAAACAGACTTGTGATATGATTGATCTGAGCTGGGTTTGAACCAGCCCCCCTGCAGAACAAAGTGCATCACAAGGCCACCACTATGAGACATCCCGTTTACAGTTCTGAGAGAGACGTGGTTTTGCACCAACGCCGAGTGGAAAACAGATCGTCATGAGCAGCCACCACCGGGGGGAGCAACACCTCCCACCAGTGCAAGATCAAGGACGCGTGGCTTATCCAACTGGAACCTTAAATACCTCTCCTCTAAAAGACCGAGCCGCTTGCGGCACAGCTGGACACATCGTCTGACTCAGAGCAACAGCTCACATCTGCTGAGTCAACAGCACCATGGCAGCTTTTCAGCAACCATCCAAGGCCAGGTCTTGCTCAGCCTGAGATAAGACTGTGTCACCAGTGGAGGTGACGGCAGCAGTTTTCAGACATTTCAGATGTATAGTCACAAAGGGACTCACAGGGACACCTCCTCAGGCACACGCTGGATATGCTAATTCAGTTCAACTTACTGGTTCCTACCCTTACCAGAAGCACAGGACAGAAACAGGGTTCCTGACCAATCTTTCTTTCACTCTTACTCTACATCTCTCTCACTGTTCTGGCCAGTTCGGATCTGAGGAATGCTAGAGCTGGCATCCAATAATGACTCATCTCTGCTTCTATGATGATGGCTCATCATTAGCTTCTATGATGAGGTAACTGGCTCTGTAGATGTGGGAAAGTCAGTGGATGTGATATACCTGGACTTTAACAAAGCTTTTGATACGGTCTCCCACAATATTCTTGCCAGCAAATTAAGGGAACGTGGATTGGATAAATGGACGGTAAGATGGATAGACAGCTGGCTAGAAGGTCAGGCCCAGCGGGTAGTGATCAATGGCTCGATGTCAGGATGGCGGTCGGTTTCTAGCGGAGTGCCCCAAGGTTCGGTTCTGGGACCAGTTTTGTTCAATATCCTTATTAATGATCTGGATGAGGGGATTGATTGCACCCTCAGCAAGTTTGCGGATGACACTAAGCTAGGGGGAGGGGTAGAAATGCTGGAGGGCAGGGATAGAGTCCAGAGTGACAGACAAATTGGAGGATTGGGCCACAAGAAATCTGATAAGGTTCAACAAGGACAAGTGCAGAGTCCTGCCCTTGGGATGGAAGAATCCCAAGTATTGTTACAGGCTGGGGACTGACTGACTAAGTAGCAGTTCTGCAGAAAAGGCCCTGGGGGTTACAGTGGATGAGAAGCTGGATATGAGTCTACAGTGTGCCCTTATAGCCAAGAAGACTAATGGCATATTAGGTTGCAGTAAGAGGTACATTGCCAGTAGATCCAGAGAAGTGATTATTCCCCTTTATTCGGCTCTGGTGAGGCCACATCTGGAGTAGTGTGTCCAGTTCTGGGCCCCCAATTACAGGAAGGATGTGGATGTATTGGAAAGGGCGACCAAAATGATTAGGGGGCTGGAGCATATGACCTACAAGGAGAGGCTGAGGGAGTTGGTCCATTTAGACTGCAGAAGAGAAGAGCGAGGGGGGATTTGAGAGCAGCCTTCAACTCCCTAAAGGGAGGTTCCAAAGAGGCTGGAGAGAGGCTGTTCTCAGAGGTGACAGATGGCAGAACAAGGAGCAATGGTCTCAAGTCGCGGTGGGAGAGGTCCAGGTTGGATACTAGGAAAATCTATTTCACTAGGAGGGGGGTGAGGCACTGGGATGGGTTCCCTAGGGAAGTAGTGGAGTCTCCATCCCTAGAGGTGTTTAAGTCTCGGCTTGGCAAAGCCCTGGCTGGTTTGTTTTAATGGGGATTGGTCCTGCCTTGGGCAGGGGGCTGGACTTGACCTTCTGAGGTCTCTTCCAGCTCTATGGTTCTAGGGGTCTCGGCCATTCAGGGGGAGTAAAACACGGGCCGACAGGTAAGTCAAGATTGCCACAGTTTCCCTTCACAAGAATAAGAATCCTCTCCAAAGTGTTGTGTGCCCCGTCCACTCTCCCACTAACACTCGCAGCCTATGACCGAGGATGCCTGACTTGCCCCATTCCTGTCTCACCACATTCTGCTCTTGTCCCAACCTCTGGGACTCCTGGAGACTTCTGTGCCGTAATCACCGACTCTGCACGGACAGCACGGCTCTGGCTTTAAAGCAGACCCCTGCTTCAAGTTCATGGCGTGTTTAGCCCACGTTAGCTGTTCAAGCATCAACTATCAGAGCCCTCCAGAAAGTGCCTGTTCCGCTTCCGTTCTCGCTGTGGCTCGAGAAGGACTGGCCACCAAACTGCCATAAACCAGGGGCTGCTTGTGAAGATCAGCTCCTGAAATGCCTGCGTAGCAGCAGACACAAGGTTCAAGCGGAGGAGGGAACGCATGCCACTGCAGAGGTATATCCTGCATAACTCTGTGGGACAGGAGGGAATGGGGTTGATTAGGTGTCCCTGCACAAATCAACCCCAACGTGGCCCCGGCTCTCAGCCTGCTGCACGGTACCCAGATTTCCCAGCAGGGCTCCCTGTAAGTTGTGTGCTTGGGCGGCTACTCAGGAGAGTCAAATGCCTCCCAGCTGATTTAAAGTGCCCACAGCTAGGGTTTTGTTTCTACTGGTGGTGCACATTCACACATGCCTGGGTGCACCTAGAAAAATTTATCTTGCACATGGATGAGAAAGATTAGAGGGAACATTGTCCCCCAGCACTGTACGTCCTTTACATTAGGCCTTTCACCTCATCCAGGGATTGTAGAAGGGCTGTAGTTAGTGCTCCATGTCCCCTTGACCCGGCAAAGTGTTGCTCTCAGGCTGTTGACTGAAGCGAGGGAGGAGAATGGCCTGCAATGAAGGACTGTTGTGATCTCATTACCAGGGGCAGATGACCATTTTGCGGGGCCCTGGTCACCTTTGATGAACACAGTCAGGGACTGACAGTAGCACTTCAGGGAATCCACACCCAGGATCTTCTAAATAATGAATGGCCATTAACCCAGGCCATGCGGGTAGGTGTCCAAAGCAGAAGGTCGGTCCCCTACCTCCCAACATGGCTCCCCCAGGGTATCCTCTCTGAGCCCTCTGGCACTGAGACATCTCCACTTGCATTGGCGGTTCTTAATGAAAGGACTTTAGGGGCCTGTTCCAGGCTGGATGGAGACACACACATGCCATGTAGACACCCGCACGCAACCAATCACTCTTAGGAGTGGCCAGTCCTTAGCGTCGGGCTGTTTCTCCAATGCTAGATCTCTGTCTACTTCTCAGTGACCACACCGCATGCAGCGGTACAACTGCCTGCAAAAGCATGGAACGGACCATCCCCACCTCTTCAAAGGGCTCTTCTGTAGAAGGTGCACAGCTAAGGAGCACGTGTTTAGGGAAGCAGTACAGTCAGGAAACCTGGGTTCTGTACCCAGCTGTAGAAGGGCAGGGTGGTCCAATGGTCGGAGCAGAAGGGAGCTGGGTGCCAATCCTCTTGGGTGTGCACTCTGGTGTCTGGAGCAGCAGCCAAACGACCAGGACTTCTGAGCTCCACGCCATGCTCTGAGAGAGCATGGTCCCGTGCCAATCTACAAAGAGATCAAGCTGGTTCTTATGTTACAGTTACCCACGTCGCTTTATGCTACAACCCAGTTATGCACAAAGAATTGTCCGGACCAGGGGCAAGCTGCCTAAAGTCATTTTATGCCTCCATAGCCAGGCCGAGGCCACGGAAGCTTCCACACCTCTTCTAAGGCTGTTCCTGCATAAGACCCTTTCTCCTTAATATTTCTCACCAGTGGCCCCTGCTTTAGAACCACTGCACCTCCTGGCCTGGCCAAGCAAACACAGGGGTCAGCACACCAGTTACCACCTGAGCCCTGTCTACACTAGAGCACCCCTGCCCTATCGCACCCACAGCGGTGGCCCGATGGTAAAACTGGAGAACACGCTCCCACAAGCCATCCGATTCTCCAGCCATCCCCCAGGGATGCAGAGCTGGAGCGGGGGACCCTGATCTCCTGCAGAGCTGCCGTCGGATGATAAATGCTTTCGATCGCTGCTGGCCCAGTTCAGAGCTGACCCGGAGGTGAAACGCCGCAGATCTTGTTACCCGCCCCCCCAGCCCTACAGCTCCTCCCGTGGATTGATATACGTGCGCTACGAAGCTCTGATAGTGGAGAGCCAGTGCTGTGGCTCAGGGCAGCTCTGTAGTCAGGAGAGCAACAAGGAGGATTTCTAATTCCTCCCCACCCCCACCTCCAGCCCTTCTCCAATAAATCTTTGCTCTGCCTGGCCTCTGCACCCACGTTTCGCCTGGTCAGAGGATCCGGCATGCTGCGAGCGCATCAATAATTCAAGCCTGCTGTCAGAGCGACCTGCATCCCATCTGATTTAGGGCCCTAGTCAAGTTAAAAGGAGTTAATGCAGCTAAGAGGCCTTTAAACAAGGCGCAAGGAGCAGAAGGAACTAATAAGAGCTCTGCATTCCTCCATGGCCAACGTGTTTCCATTAAGGCTGCCAGGACATTCTGCAGGCAGAGCAGGGACTGGGTTGATAATTATCACCGACGCAGGAGCAGGCAAAACCTGGTTTGTTTCAACCAGCCTGCTAACCCCTGGGCCTGTCCTGCCTTCCTCCCCCGGTCCCTGCCGCAGCCACGATGCCATGCGGCGAGAGTCGGCTTTGCATGCGAATGAAGGCAGATCCCACTGCTGCTTTGCCGTGACGCCCGGAGACAAGCAGCTATAAATAGCACACGCAGCACAAGGCTGCAGTCAGGGGAGGAGGGAGTGTTGCTCTTCTCAAAGGCAGTGGCCAAAGGGGGCTGGTAAACGAAGCCAGGCCGTGGCATCGGGCCACGGAACGTCCCCCCGATGAGGAAGCCCCAGTGCTTCAAAGCTCTGCTCAGAGGAACAGATCGGGACGGGGAGAGAGGGAGAAATCTTCTCTTCCTTCCTGCTCCTTTTCCTCTCTCCCCTACTTCAGCAGCAGCAGCAAAACTGAAGGCCATTGGGGCGGCAGCAGTTTTAATCCACCCATTTGCGACGTCCTCTTCCTTAAAATGGCCCTTTAAATTTTTTTAAGAAAACCTCAGAGGTTGGACACACACACAGAGGGTTTGGATCCTTTGGCTGCTGCATGAACCGCGTCAAGAATCCTGCCAATGTTAATTGTCCTCCATCCTCTCTGCTCCAAGCACGCCTGCACTACTCTATGGCCCGTTACCCCCCAAAAAAGTAGCAGGGATCCAAGCAGACGGGGATTCCCGGGTCTGGGTGGACAGACTGCCCGTGGCAAAGGGTGTCGTGTCCGAGATTTACAATCCTGGCTGCTTGGTGCCGTTCAGAAGTGCCGTCACCTCTCCGGGTTCCTTATTAACTCGTCCCCTCCCCGTTCCAACCGTACCCGACTCTCTCGTGTCCAAAGAACTTCTCACTGGGGCCGCAGCCACCGTCTTCCCCTGCGCCCCGCCACAAATGAAGGCGCGTACATCGCCTCCTCCCTCCCCCAGCGATCGTGACGGGGCTGATGACTCACGGGGCGATGCACGCACGAGGCTGTAATGTTTGTAAACCTAAAAAAGCCATGTGCAAGCAGGCAGCGTGATTCGGCCGGGAGCACCAGCTGCCAACTGCAGGAGGAGACGCCGTCTCCAGACAGGGAATGAAGGGGCCCTCCAAATGGGCTAAAAATAGGCACAAACCACCACTACATTTCCCCGCGTTTGCTCAGAGAGTCATGGGCTTGGGAAACCAGTGCAGGAGGAGCCAAGACGGGAGCAAAGAATTCCCTCTCAGCAAATTTCTTCTCTCCGCTCCAGGGAAAGCATTTAAAGGGGAAAAAGTCAGTGCCTCCCCTTTGTCAGATTAACGAAGACACGACAAGTTGCACCATCAGCTACAGCACGCTGACAAGCAGCAACCAGGGGCAGGGTTCAATGGATCTGCAGACCAGTGGTGCTGGTGATTAGGTTACAGATGCACCACGGCCCAGGTTCCCTTTGTGCTAGGAGCTGTACAAACAATGAACTTGCTGAGGTTGACAAACAGCAACTAGTCACCATTGTTGGACACGATTCCATTCACCATTCCACACTCATGCTCACAAGTCGAGGTACACTTAGTGCCCAAATTTTAAGCACATGCATGAAGAGTCCCGGCCTGGCCCATTTCAAACTGAAACAGCATCTCTGTCTTTCTCCACCTGTTGTCTCTTGTCAGTCAGCTCTTTATTTTGTGTTTGGACAGCACCTAGCATGAAGGGGCTTATTGCCCATGACTGTGGCTCCTAGGATCCATGGAGTACAAGCAATAAACAGCAACCTCTCGCTAGGGAGGTACATATACAATTGCCAGACTCAAAAATCAGAAGGGAGCATCACTATTATTCACTGGCACACCCGAGAGCCTGAGTCCAGGACAATCCCACCACGATCATGTCATTTGACCTTTTCTATAACTCACGCCGCAGAATTCCACCTGCATGTGGATCTTCCACTGTAGCAGCTCAGAGCCTAATAAACACAGACATCTCGCCCACTTCCCACCTATGCAAAATGCTGCCGTTTAGGGTGCCACCCACTGAAAGACCCCTGAATGCGATGAACTGCGTAGAGCTGGCTGCAACTGAGATCCTGCTTAGATGCATCTGATTAAGTGGTTTGTACCCATGAAAGCTTATTCCCAAGTAAATCTGTTAGTCTCTAAGGTGCCACAGGACTCTGGGCTGGTTTTGCCGATACAGACTAACAAGGCTTCCCCTCTGGGACTTGCATAGAGCTTGGTTAATTGAAGGGCCAGGCGCAAGCTCATCCCTGCAAGACTGAATATGCCCACTGTGTTGCCTTCCCCCGCAATGCGTCCAGAACTCTGCACCTCTCAGAGCCAGACAAAAGGCCACTACATACAAACCATCAGATCCAATGCATGGGGCAGTCTCTTAGCTGTCGGTCTAAATAGGAGGCATCAAACTTTCTGAAAGACTTTGCAAACTCCACCGGACACGCCTGGCTTGTGCCATGTGACTGCAGAGAAGCACAGCGCCATGATCTGGGTTGATTTCTTGAAACAAGACCATTCTGGACTGACCCTGAGGGACCAGACTTGCTCCTAAACAAGTCAATGGCAAAACCCTCCAATGGGAGCCAGGGCACATACCAGTCCTTGCAGCCATCTGAATCACTTGATTCATAGTCTAGCTACATCCCCCTCCCCCCTCCCACATCTGTCCCCACTGAAGAAACCCACAGCTAGTTCTTCTCACGATTATTTATTAGTTGTTTGGAGCAGCACCCACAATCTCCTGGCTGCTCTCCAAACATCCAAGAAAGAGCGTTCCATAAGCTGAGCAGACCACAGTCTGCACGGACAACTGCACGTACTGGAGCAGGCACCTGAAAGCCAACAGGAAAAGCAGCGTAGTAATTGACTAGAAATGAGGGGACCCAAGATCCCACTCGTTATGACATCAGCAGCCTGGTCCCTGGGGAAAAGCCATCCAGACACTATTTCATACCTCGCATGCCGCGCTGACTGGAGCCATGAGACTGCAGCAGGCAATTAGAACTATTACGATCAAACGGTCTTTTTCTTTTTTCATGTGGCTGCTTTGGAAATTGAGATCGGCAAGCTGGGAAGTGTTCGCCGCTGCGAGTTCAGAGCGAAGCCACATTTTCAAAGGAACTACGACTACTACAGGGACCTCGCTGAATGGGTCTGCAGAAGGTACACTTTAAAAAAAACAACCCAGAACTGCCATGTTAGATTAAACAAGCAAAACTGCAGCACAATCTCTGCTCAAGACCGCATTCTGAATACCCGTTAGAAAGCCATGCTGACAACACCCCGAGAATCAATAGAGCCAATCTTCTTCCACACAGAACTGGCGTCTCCTACCCATCCTTCTTGGGAATGGGTGAAATGGGGGGAAAGACAATTTTTGAAAGATCCCTTCCTGGTTACAGCATTTCTGATGGAACCAGCTGATCCAATGTGCAGGAAACTTTTCTGCAGAAATGTCTGACTTGGCGGAGTGGGGGAGGGGTCTGTTCTACCATTCATTCCAGCATCAGTAGGGGATACAGCCATGCTGATTAGACTTCGACTTTCCCATATCCAGCCTCTTCACGTCAGATTTCATCCTGGCTTGTATCAGAGCAGAGTGAAAAAGCAGGGCTCTTCCCTAAGAACACGGCATCAGTCAAGTCTCTCCCAGCGAACTCCAAGAACAAACGAGACGAATGTCACAGACAGGGCTGCAGAAACGTTTGTAAGCTCTGGGAGCGAACTGAGGGCATGCAGAAGCAAGGGACCGGCAGGGCAGGGCAGCAGACTGAGTTCTGTGCAAATCGTCCCCTCGCTCCTCTCCTGAGGTGCCTTCGGCCTCACAAAAGGTACCAGTTGCAGCCCGATCCAGATCCTCAGCCCCCGTGTATATAGCTCTGCCCATGCCCTTCCATCCCCTCCCTTCTCAACTATTCTAGTCCCCAGCCACCCCATACAATTCTGCTAATGTTAACGCCCCCCAGTTCCAACCATTCCAGCCCTGGGCCCTCCATCCCAACCCGCCCCGCCCAGCACCCTGTTAGTCCAATGTGGCTCTCCCCTGAGCAAAGACTTACAGTGGCACTGAACTGTGCCAAACCATCAGGGGAGCTGGTTACCTGGGCTGAGCCCTAAAATCATTTCCACCTGTGGATCCGGTCTGGGTGCACACTTCCAGCAGGCAGTGCGGTGCCCCACACATCCACTGACCCACGGAAATCACAACAGGCAAAAGATCAATGCAAACCAACACAAAGAATAACTGGCTACAGGGTACCAGCTCTCGCACATCCAGGCAGAGTGGAGAATATCAGAGGAGGAAAAAAATCATGGTCACACAAGCCCCTTTTGATTGGCGTTGGATGTCAAATATTACCCCGCCCAGGAATGTGTGTCAGTGCACAGAACTGAATCCTAGCCCATTGGGGGACCCCAGTACCATTGCCCAAGGACTGGTGATTGAGGAGGGAGCCTGTGTCCGGTTAAGGATTTGAATTTGTGGAGAGTAGAAGAGCTCCCCCCCCACACCTTTGCATCTCCAACCCCCTTAAGTCCTTTTGGGTATTTGCCTACTTTCCCATCTTCTGCAATCCCGCTGTTACAGTATCTGCCCCAGGTACCTGCCGGTTTGACATTTCACACCGAAAACAAAAGAAAGGAAGAGGTCAGGCAGCAAGCCAGGGCATTTTGTTTCCCACCCTTCCCCCTCTCAATGC